ATACTAAGGGGGCATTGGTATAGTTCTGTTCGTGATCAATATGCTGATCCGTACAAACTTTATATTAGTAATGATGGTGATCAGTGCGATAGTGTGCGGGCAATCTAACGCTAGCTGACCCTTGCTGGGAGAGGCGCTAACTCCCCCTAACGCTATCTGAGTTTGCTAGTGACACTGACACTGTACTAGTAGTACTGGCAGGGTGACGGGACAATCAAAGGGATAAATATGGCAATCAAGTGGTTAAAATGTGTCTAAGGTGTAGGTGAAAATATGCTGCTTTTATTCACCTACAATGTGTCTTTCTTCTCTCACTGGAATGAAAAGGTTCCAAGGAGAGAAAACCCAGCTAGATCCTGTGCCTGTACTTACAAATACAGGCACAGCTCTGCTTCTCCATTTATTGCAGGAGACCTGCTGACAAACATGTCCTGCATTGAATGACGGCAGGGTCAGCAGGGGGCACACGCTTCAAACCCAGAAAAACACAGCAACAGATGGGTAAGTTGCTAGTCCTGTAGCTGCGTCCCGTTCCCAGTACATTGTGGGTAAGTGGGTGGGTGGAAATTGGTTATAACACATTGGCTTGTAAGCAGGCATTGATAGGTATATACAGTATATATACTATGTCATGAAAGTCTTGACCTTATGGATATAATCCCTGGAATCAACTTATGTTATAGGAATGATTTAAAAATATGGACAGTCCCAACTTTTTTTAGTAACTTCCTATACAGCTCACTTTAACCATTTGCCACCCGGCCAATAGCCGTTTGGCGGCTTGAAAGTTGCTTCTCCACTCCGGGTGCACGCCATTTGGCGTGCTCCCGCACATGCGCCGTTTGCGCTAATGCAGAGCAGCGCAGCGGCTCGATCTGTCACGGGGCGTGTACCTCGGACACGGCCGATGACAGATCCGAGTACCGGCTCCGTTGCAGGTACCATGTGACCTGCTGTGACCAATCACAGCAGGTCACATGACAGTTGTATACAATGGACGGCTTCATTCATGATGCCATCCATTGTATACTAGTGCCTAGCTGTGAATGGTCACAGCTAATCACATGCACATGTCATGTGATTAGCTGTGACCAAATCACAGCTAAGCACAAAAAAAAAAAAAAGCTGAATGAATCCATTTCATTCAGGTAAATTCTTGCTTATAGCAAAGTATTTCTTTGCTATAAGCAAATTGTGTAAAAAAAAAAAAAATACTGATCGCTTCCCCAAAGTAGTACAATGTTACTATGGTAACATTGTACTACTTTGGTCATAGTAAAATCTGAAAAAAAAATGTTAAAAAAAAAAAAAAAAGTAATAAAAAATTAAAAATAATAAAAAAAAAAAAAAAAAATTAAAAATATATATATATTTTTTTTTTTTTCATACTGTCACCAGTCAGTGTCCCTGTTCACCGCCATGCCAGTTATATGATGATGCTGTACTGCACTGGTGACAGTATGTAAAAAAAAAAATAGTGAAAATAATTTTTTTAATTTTTTCATTTTCCGAAAAATTATGACAAAAAAAATACAACTTCAAAAAACTCACCATGCCTCTTATGAAGTACGTCAGGCTGTCTACTCTGCAAAAAGGGGTCATTTGGGGGATATCTCTGTACTATTCTGACATTCTTAGACCTCAAGAAATTAGATTGGCCGTCAGTACTTCAGGATTGATCAATATTCAGATCTATACCATAGTTTGTGAACTCTATAACTTTCCTACAAACTAAATAATACATCCTAATTTGGGTTATTTTCACCAAAGACATGTAGCAGAATACATCTCGGCCTAAATTTATGAAGAACAATTATTTATTTGTAAATTTTTATAACGAAACAAAGAAAAACGTGTATTTTTTTCAACATTTTTGGCCTTTTTTTGTTAATTTAGCAAAAAATAAAAACCCCAGCGGTGATTAAATACCACCAAAAGAAAGCTCTAGTTGTGTGAAGAAAATGATAAAATTTTAGTTTGGGTACAGTGTTGTATGACTGCGCAATTGTCATTCAAAGTGTGAGAGCGCTGAAACGTGAAAAATGGCCTGGGCAGGAAGGTGTAAAATTGCACGCTATTGAAATGGTTAAGGAATGATGTTGTCTCTTGTTTACCTTTCCCAAAGCTGAGACAATGATTAGTCATTAAATAACCAGGCTGTTAATTTGTTGTGTCCACAAGTCTACCTGGTCACACATACGAGGTGTCTTCATACTCCACATCCATGGGACTTGGAAATGCTTGTAAATATCAAACTATCTCAGTTGGGAAAGAAATTGTCTGCTGTGTCAACTGAGACATGAAAGTGACCCTGGGTTTTTTTTTTTTCTTTTTTTCGGGGGGGGGGGGGGGGCTATTCAGTTTACAAACAACCATGATTTAAGCTGGAGAAACGGAAAAAAATTCTAACATATCCCTCCTCTATCATTCTTATCAAATGCTGTAATCGTTTGGAAGAGCTATAGATGTAGAATTTTGATTACACAGGCTTTTGTAAGTTCTCCACCATTGATAGATCCATACAGGTTCCAGACTGTTACCAGGGTGACCTCAATTTGAGTGGAGTTCTCCATGAGCTCCTGGTGTATCAGTCATTGGTCTTTTGATGTTTGGATACCTGCAAGTTTCTGTGGTTCCTTCGGAAGGATAACAGGTCAGTGCCACTGTACACATCTTAGGTTGGTCCTCTGTTGGTCTGTGGGAAATGTTGGTCTGTGGGAAATGTAACACACTCCCAACACAACGTTGGTTCTGGCAGTCTGATGGATTGTCCTTGTAGACTGGCCATCAGGAATATCCCTGGATTCTCTCTGTCCCTTCTCTGGACATCTAGGACACGTCAGTCTCTTGGGTTACTGACCTGCTCATGGACTCTTAAGTCTCTGTAAAGTAAGATGAACTCCATGAGAAATTACAAAAACATATTTCATTAACATACCCTGTAGTTTAACTGTCAGTGTCAGGCTGGAATCCTGATTCCTAATTTATGATTAGAGATGAGCGAATTATTCAAAAATTCGATTCGGCTGATTCGGCGAATTCGCGGAATAAATTCGATTCGAGTCGAATATATTCGCTGCGAATTTAACTTATAAAAAGGGTGTTTCTAGGCTTCAGAGAGCCTTTATATTAGTGCAGAACACTGTACCTTTAATTTAAATGCCCTTGGAGTCTGCTGGGGAAGAGAAATAATGCTGTCAGTCAGTATGACATGCAGATGAGTGCCGTCGATCTTAGAATCACCACACACTTCACTCATTTGAGCAGTCACGGGGCCAAAACCAGAGTGTGGAGCCACAGTGTGGCGGTGGAGGCAGCAGCAATGGGAGGCCATACAGCACCCTATGACAAAATGGAACCCACCAGCAGTGTGAGGAGACCTGAAAGTGGCACATGGCAGAGTGTGGCGATGGAGACAGCAGCAATGGGAGGCCGTACAGGGACCCATGACACACTCTGGACCTGGCAGCAGCATGAGGAGGCGGTACAGGGGCCCATGACAGATTACGGGCCTGGCAGCAGCATGAGGAGTCGGTACGGGGGCCCATGGCAGATTACGGGCCTGGCAGCAGCAATGGGAGGCCATACAGCACCCTATGACAAAATGGAACCCACCAGCAGTGTGAGGAGACCTGAAAGTGGCACATGGCAGAGTGTGTGCGATGGAGACAGCAGCAATGGGAGGCCGTACAGGGACCCATGACACACTCTGGACCTGGCAGCAGCATGAGGAGGCGGTACAGGGGCCCATGACAGATTACGGGCCTGGCAGCAGCATGAGGAGTCGGTACGGGGGCCCATGGCAGATTACGGGCCTGGCAGCAGCAATGGGAGGCCATACAGCACCCTATGACAAAATGGAACCCACCAGCAGTGTGAGGAGACCTGAAAGTGGCACATGGCAGAGTGTGGCAATGGAGACAGCAGCAATGGGAGGCCGTACAGGGACCCATGACACACTCTGGACCTGGCAGCAGCATGAGGAGGCAGTACAGGGGCCCATGACAGATTACGGGCCTGGCAGCAGCAAGAGGAGTCGGTACGGGGGCCCATGGCAGATTACGGGCCTGGCAGCAGCAATGGGAGGCCCGTAATCTGCCAGCACCCTATGACAAAATGGAACCCACCAGCAGTGTGAGGAGACCTGAAAGTGGCACATGGCAGAGTGTGGCGATGGAGACAGCAGCAATGGGAGGCCGTACAGGGACCCATGACACACTCTGGACCTGGCAGCAGCATGAGGAGGCGGTACAGGGGCCCATGACAGATTACAGGCCTGGCAGCAGCATGAGGAGTCGGTACGGGGGCCCATGGCAGATTACGGGCCTGGCAGCAGCAATGGGAGGCCCGTAATCTGCCAGCACCCTATGACAAAATGGAACCCACCAGCAGTGTGAGGAGACCTGAAAGTGGCACATGGCAGAGTGTGGCGATGGAGACAGCAGCAATGGGAGGCCGTACAGGGACCCATGACACACTGTGGACCTGGCAGCAGCATGAGGAGGCGGTACAGGGGCCCATGACAGATTACGGGCCTGGCAGCAGCATGAGGAGTCGGTACGGGGGCCCATGGCAGATTACGGGCCTGGCAGCAGCAATGGGAGGCCGTACAGGGACCCATGACACACTCTGGACCTGGCAGCAGCATGAGGAGGCGGTACAGGGGCCCACAGGGACAGATTACTGGCCTGGCAGCAGCATGAGGAGTCGGTACGGGGGCCCATGGCAGATTACGGGCCTGGCAGCAGCAATGGGAGGCCCGTAATCTGCCAGCACCCTATGACAAAAATGGAACCCACCAGCAGTGTGAGGAGACCTGAAAGTGGCACATGGCAGAGTTTGGCGATGGAGACAGCAGCAATGGGAGGCCGTACAGGGACCCATGACACACTCTGGACCTGGCAGCAGCATGAGGAGGCGGTACAGGGGCCCATGGCAGATTACGGGCCTGGCAGCAGCATGAGGAGTCCGTACGGGGGCCCATGGGCAGATTACAGGCCTGGCAGCAGCATGAGGAGTCGGTACGGGGGCCCATGGCAGATTACAGGCCTGGCAGCAGCAATGGGAGGCCCGTAATCTGCCAGCACCCTATGACAATATGGAACCCACCAGCAGTGTGAGGAGACCTGAAAGTGGCACATGGCAGAGTGTGGCGATGGAGACAGCAGCAATGGGAGGCCGTACAGGGACCCATGACACACTCTGGACCTGGCAGCAGCATGAGGAGGCGGTACAGGGGCCCATGACAGATTACGGGCCTGGCAGCAGCATGAGGAGGCGGTACGGGGGCCCATGGCAGATTACGGGCCTGGCAGCAGCATGAGGAGTCGGTACGGGGGCCCATGGCAGATTACGGGCCTGGCAGCAGCAATGGGAGGCCCGCCATCAGCACCCTATGACAAAATGGAACCCACCAGCAGTGTGAGGAGACCTGAAAGTGGCACATGGCAGAGTGTGGCGATGGAGACAGCAGCAATGGGAGGCCGTACAGGGACCCATGACACACTCTGGACCTGGCAGCAGCAAGAGGAGGCGGTACAGGGGCCCATGGCAGAGTGGCGAAGCGTAAGCAGCTTAAATTGAAGGCCATACAGAGGCCTATGTTAAAAATAATAACATGTTTGGGGCATGATTCATGGCGGATTTAGTCAGTTGTGTCAGGAACTGGTGGTTTGAAATCCAGACTAATCCACGCCTGATTCATTTTCACAAACGTGAGTCTCTCCACACTTTGGGTGGACAGTCGTGTCCTCCGCGGAGTTACAATACCTCCTGCCGCACTAAACACGCGCTCCGATGCCACGCTACTGGCCGGGCATGACAGCCTTTCAAGGGCAAATTCAGCTAGTTGGGGCCAAAGGTCAAGTTTCGTTGCCCAGTAGTCAAGGGGATTGTCTACCTCGGTTGGCAGGGTGCTGTCCAAGTAGGCCCAAGCCTGTTGTTTGAGGTCCTGCTCCAGGTCCACCTGATGCTGCTGCTGCGGCTGGTTAGTAGTTTCCTCACTGCGCTGGTGAAGAAAGCTACTCATCATCGACTGCAGACTGAGGCAGCCGCTGCTGGTGGAGCTGCCACTGCTCCTACCACCCCACCCCCCCCCTGCTGCCATGGCAGCGGAACGCGAGCGCACAGGGCCCACAGTGTCTGAGGATGGACGTTGGCGCAGAAAGGCAGAGACCAACTGACTACATAGGTGGTTTTTATAGTACGTATTTTGGCCTCCCTCTCAGCAGGTGTGAAAAAAGGCCACCATTTTTGAACGGTAGCGAGGGTCCAACAAGGTGGACAGCCAAAAGTCATCCCTCTGTCTGATGGTTATTATTCGGCTGTCGCTACGCAAGCAACCGAGCATGCTATGGGCCATTTGTGCCAAGGAATGCGAGGGACTCCCTGCCTCCATCTCCACAGCATACTGCCACGGTGCGTCTGGGTCCTCTGTCTCCTCCTCCTCCTCTACCAGATGCTCCTGCTCCTCCACTCCACTCCTGTCCGCTGAGTGGAAAAACCACCCATTTCACTCAATAATTCCTGAGCACCAATGTCCTCCTCTACCTCCTCCTCTTCTTCCCTGTCCTGCCCCCACAGGGGTCATGTGGCGTCGAGATCTGTGCGCCACGTCTACCGCACCCTGACCAGCCATTGTTAACAGCATTTGTTCCAGGACGTGCAACAGAGGAATGACGTCGTTCATCCCATAGTCCTGCCGACTCACGAATAGCGTGGCCTCCTCAAAGGGCCTGAGCAAGCGGCAGGTGTCACGCATGAGCTGCCAATGGCTGACATCTAAGTTACACAGGGGAGTACCTTTATCCGCTTGTAACATCAGGAAATCGGTGATGGCCTTTCGCTGTTCGTAAAGGCGGTCTAACACATATGTAGGGTTGAATTCCACCTTGTTGCAACGTCGCAGATCAGGCGATGCTGTGGAATTCCGTTCTGCCCGCTGCAGCTCAAGGAGGGTGTGCTTTGCGGTGTAGGAATGGCTGAAATGCATGCAAAGTTTACGTGACATTTTAAGGATGTCTTGCAGTGGGATGGTGGATTTTAGGAACCGCTTGACAACTCAACCAGATTGAACACGTGAGCCATGCATGGCGCATGGCACAACCTTCCTTGACGCAGAGCAGACACCATGTTCTTTCCGTTGTCGGTCAACATGGTTCCGATTTTCAGTTTGCGCGGAGACAGCCATCTGTCGATTTCTCTGTTCATTACACTCAGAAGTTCCTCCCCTGTGTGTGACTACGTTCGCCAAGGCATACCAGGTGCAGCACAGCGTGACACCGTTGCGCCCTGCACATGTGATATGCCGGTCGGGTAATGGGACTTGGGGGGGGCGGCTGAGGACACGGCGGAAGAAGAGGTGGTAGAGGCGGACATCTTTGCTGGACCAAGGACGTGCAAACGTGGAGGCAAAAGCGGCGTGACCTGTCCAAGTTGCTGGTGCGGCTGTGCCGGCACCACGTTCACCCAGTGGGCCGTAAATGACATGTACTGTCCCTGACCGTAGTTACAGCTCCACACGTCGGCGCTGCCGTGCACTTTGGCAGAGACCGACATGCTCAAAGACTGGCCCACCATCTCTTCTACATGTGAATGCAGGGCTGGCACTGCCTTTTTGGCGAAGAAATGCCGGCTTGGCACTCTCCACCGCGGCTCGGCACAAGCCATCATTTCTCGGAAAGGTGCTGAGTCCACCACTTGGAAAGGGAGGGACTGCAGCACCAGCAACTTGGACAGGAGGACGTTCAGCTTCTGCACCGTCGGGTGCGTGCTCGCAAACTGTTGTCTCTTGGAAACGGATTCCAAGAAAGACTGCTGACGGAATCCGTGAAGAGCAGTAGCAGGAGAAGGAGCATCTGAACGAGCGGAAGATGCCAACGAGCGACAACTCCCCTCAGCAGAGGTGTTGGAGCCTTGACTGGCTGATAGAGGGCGATTGACGTCGGGTGACGGAGCAAGTAACGGAGCGGGTGATGGAGCGGGGGCTGGGGCAGGCAGAACCACCGTATCTTTATCACGGTTTTCCCAGGCCACCGAATGGCGACGCTGCATATGCTGACGCAACGCTGTAGTCCCAACATGGGCCCCTGGCCACGCTTGACTTTCTGGCCACATAGTCGACATACGGCTACGTTTACTTCCTCGGGCGGCTTGACGAAAAATTGCCACACCGCCGAGTAGGAAACTTTGCCCCCGATACTCCTCACTGGCTGACTGCTACTTCCTCCGTGCACACCGGCACCACTACTGGCCGTGGTGGTAGGCTGCAGTGGAGCTGGTGCTCTAGTCCGTGGCCGTTTGCCTCCACTGACACTGCTGCGACCCTGCTGCCTCCTGGGCAACCCACCGACTGTTTTGCTCGCTGCCAAGCTGGCACCCTCTTCTCCTGATGATGCGGAAGCAATAGCCTGATGACGACGAGGCTGCCAAGTGCGATCAGCCTCATCATCATCAATTAGGGTCTCCGCCTCACTACTAGCCCCCTCGGCTGCGTGTGGGTCAGGAGACAGACCTGTCTCTAGACCGGCTACCGAGCCACTCTCCTCGCCAGTACTTCTTCGCCTGGCTGCTGAAGAGGCGGATGTCTCCCCCCGTTCCTGACCGCCCTCTGTTAGTTCTTCCTCACTGTACAGTGGGGCTGAGCCCACAGCATGCGATACTTCGCTTGGTGAGGGAACACCAAAGGACAGGGGCAGGTAGAGGACACGTGATTTCAGTGGGCTTGCTCCCGGGCCATGCCAACTGACGGTTGTGTCTGACGTACCCACCGACCGTTGGCTGTAGGTGTCAGAGGTGACCTGGGAGGAGGAATACGACCGAGCCAACCAATCGATGACGGCAGGGTTGTCGGTGGAGACACGACCGCTGGATGACACCGGGAGCACTGGCCTCTGGCTGCGACTAGTGCTGCCTCGACCCCTTCCTCTGCTGCCATGTCTGCTCGCTCCTGAAACATTGCCTCCTCTGCCACTCCTCTGCGTGCTGTCTGACATACTCTTTAATTCAACGATTCTGTGTCCCTGAGTAACGATTCTGTGTCCCTGAGTAACAATTCTGTGTCCCTCAGTAACGATTCTGTGTCCCTCTCAGTAACGATTCTGTGTCCCTCAGTAACGATTCTGTGTCCCTCAGTAACGATTCTGTGTCCCTGACTAACGATTCTGTGTCCCTGAGTAACGATTCTGTGTCCCTGAGTAACGATTCTGTGTCCCTGAGTAACGATTCTGTGTCCCTCAGTAACGATTCTGTGTCCCTGAGTAACGATTCTGTGTCCCTGAGTAACAATTCTGTGTCCCTGAGTAACAATTCTGTGTCTGTCCCTGAGTAACGATTCTGTGTCCCTGAGTAACGATTCTGTGTCCCTGAGTAACAATTCTGTGTCCCTGAGTAACAATTCTGTGTCCCTGAGTAACGATTCTGTGTCCCTGAGTAACAATTCTGTGTCCCTGAGTAACAATTCTGTGTCCCCTGAGTAACAATTCTGTGTCTGTCCCTGAGTAACAATTCTGTGTCCCTGAGTAACAATTCTGTGTCCCTGAGTAACGATTCTGTGTCCCTGAGTAACAATTCTGTGTCCCTGAGTAACGATTCTGTGTCCCTCAGTAACAATTCTGTGTCCCTGAGTAACAATTCTGTGTCTGTCCCTGAGTAACGATTCTGTGTCCCTGAGTAACAATTCTGTGTCCCTGAGTAACAATTCTGTGTCCCTGAGTAACGATTCTGTGTCCCTAAGTAACGATTCTGTGGCCCTAAGTAACGATTTTGTGGCCCTAAAGTCTCTGTGGACCTAACTCTGTGCCTAATACACAGAGGTCTGTCTCTCTTGAATGACCGGAGGCTAATGGAGAATTGTAAGATGGCCGCGATTTATAGCTCCACCATTACACAGTGCTGGCTGGCTGGCTGCTGATTGGCTAATGCGATCACATGTCATGAATGAATGCATTATGGGTCAGCGCGCCTTGTCTGCGTGCCTTTCCCAGAGATCCCCGCTCCGTCGCCACACATGTCGCCGCCATTTTTGGGAAAATTCGATTCGAGCATCCGAAGTTTGCTAATTTTCGGATTCGGCGCGAATCGATTTTTCCTGATATTCGAAACGAATTCCACTTCGCCATGTTCGATTCGCTCATCGAATTGCTTTCTGTTTGTAGTCTTATATATAATGATTAAAATATTAGTTATCCACATAGAGAACAGAGAATACATAAAAAAAAAATTTATATGTATTATATATATATATATATATATCGGACACTTGAATACGAACAGATGCTTGGCATATAAGTGGAATTCGTTTCGAATATTAGGAAAAATTCGATTCGCACCGAACATCCGAAAAAATTAGCAAACTGTCGGATGAGCGAATCGACGGCGAAGTGGATCGAATATTTTCGATTCGCACCCGAAAATCGGATGCACGAATTTTTTCCCGATCATTTTCATCCCTTCTACAGCCGGCAAAAAGTGTCCCTGCAGAGAGCTCCGCTATTTCTGACCATTCTCTGACAGTTCCTTCACATTTACAGCGGTTGAAACATTGTATCTA